TACTCTGGCTCTTGTTGCAAACCTACTCTGAGACTGTTTGCTTTCCCCTTCTTATTAGAAAGGTCAGTGAGAAATCAGAGAAAAGTGTGATCATAATGTCAGAGCTGGAAGTCCCTTAGTCATCAGGCCCAAATGCTCAGTTTACAGGTGAGAAAATAGAAACCCAGAGAAGGGTGATGACGGCCCCAAAGCCACACAGTTGGGGATAGAAGAACTGGGGCTGGAACCCATTGTCCCAGCTCATGGGCATGGTGCTCGTGAGCATCTTCATAAATAAAGATTTACAGAGCACCTGCAAGTGCAAGGCCCTGAGCTGGGACCCGTGGCAGACAAATAAGGCCCAACCTTAAAAGTCTACTGAGGACACAACAAGCCAATGATAATTGGAAGATGTGGGGTTTGTGCATCAGTGAAAATGGCAGGTGGTACTTCAGGAGCCCAGGGAGGAGGGGTCTAAAGATGGAGCAGGTGGCAAGAATGTCACAAAAAGCCTCCAAGAAGAGAGCATCATGATGCTTGGTCTCTATGGAAGGCAGAAGCCAAGCTATGGAGGGGAGGGGGTGGAGGTAGGGTGGGCGACTGGGCAGAGACAGCAGTCCCCACATGGCTCAGTGGCAAAGCAAACACAGCCTCTGAAGGACCCTGCCATGAGAGGAAGCAAGCAGTGAGAAACTGAATATCCCAGACAGCTTCAGGAGAGGCACTGGCCATCAGAAGGACCACGTCATAAGGAAGCTGGAGTTCCCAGCCCGCCCCCAACCTCAGGGAGGATGAAAGGCTTGGAAGTGAACAATGGATCACACCAATGTGGTGAAGCTTCCATCAAGATTCTTGAAGTATGGGGTTTGGAGAGCTTCTGGGTTGGGTAATGCAACCATGTGCCAGAAGGGGGGTGTGTCTCGCTTCCACAAAGATAGAAGCTCCTGTGGTGGGCACCCTGAAGACCTCATCCTGTGGACCTCTTCAGCTAGCTGCTTATCTACATCCTTTATCATATCCTTTATTATCTAATAAACTGGTTAATATGCTTAAAAAATAAAAGAAAGGAAGGAGGAGATAGAGACAGAAAGTTAAGCAGGGATCACATAATGAAGGGCCTCTGATGACACGGCAAGGTGTCTGGATGTTACCCTGAAGGGAAAGTGGACTTCCCCAAGGATCTAAGCTACAGTGTGCCTATGTGTGTGTGCATGGCATGCATGCATGTGCACGTGTGTGTGTGTGTGTGTGCGTGTGTGCGAGCACGTGAGTCATGAGACTGGCTCTTCAGAAATGTTCCTCTGGCTGCAGGGGACAATAGATGAAAGGGAGGGGAGTAGGGGCAGTGAGGTGGGAGGCCACTACCACACCTCCCAGGTGAGCAATGAAAGCAGCCTAGCCTTGAACCAGCAGCATGGGAGTGGGGAAGGAGTGGCCAGATCTGTGCATCTTAAAGGGAACTAGAGTTGACAGGACTTGGTAATTGACTGGATCTGGTATAAAGGAAAGGATAGAGTTTCAGTGGACACCAGGATGACCAGGGAGACTCTCCCAAGATAAACCATGTGAAAAACCATGGTAAAACCTGGACAAACCAGGCCACTTCAGTTGGATTTCAGGTGGTTCTGGATTGGACAACTTGTGGATGGTGAGACCTGGAACATTGGGGTGGGTCCGATGGTGCAGACAGTGGATGCATTGAGTTTTAGGTGTGAAGTGGAACATCCAAGATGGGGACATCCTGTAGGGAGTTGGCATAAAGCTTGCAGGTTCTGGAGATAGGCAAGAGCTCAGACATGAACTTAGGGAATATGATCCTTAGGACAATGTGAGTTCACCAGGTGGCCCTGAGGACTTCCTAGAAGAGGATCATCCTCATGGTGCCCCTGTTTGATGCAAACATCAGTGGATGTCCTGGGTGTGAATTGCCTTCTTAGCTTTCCATCCTGCAGCCTGAGTTCTCTGAAGAAGCACTTATGGAGACGACACAGCAGAAAGGTCTGGTATTCTACGAGTGATTATGATTTCTGGGGTAAGGCCTCAAATGTACCCACAGACATACAAATGCCAGTCGAGAATAAACTTGCCTGCCTGACAAACAGTGGGTTTTTTTTCCTTTTGTTATGAGACTGTTTGGTTGTACACATTTTCAACACACAACACTACAAAAATATACCTTCTATATAAACAGACTTGAGAAATCTGTCATCTTGAATGACTGATGATCTTTGCTGAAAAGGTGGTAAGGAACTTTGGGTTCATTTCTAAAATTACTGGTTGATGTCCTAGGAAATCCTTATGTTTTAGAAGATGAACCCAACTTTTGTATTTTTAAAAATTAATGTGCTTGTCTATGTATCATTGTGTGTTACTATCTTACACAGGCATACCATTTTTTTAAAAAAGAAAATATTTGTTAAAAGGAAATACATTTCCTATTGCTCTGTGAAGAGAGAATAGACCAGGGAAACAAAGACAGGATTCAGTTTAATGGAATATTTTCTTAGAACAAATAAGTGAAGTACCTGGCAAACAAAATTGGTCTGAATGAGCACTATAGGCCTTTTCTGTAATTTATTAAGTCTTTGTAGATATATTAAATCATTAATAAAGCAGAAACGGAACAATGCTGACACAGTTAATCTCCCATTTTTCAAATGCAATGGAATTTTTCCCCCCAAAGGCTTAAGAGGTAAATAGCTAATTTCTGTTTTCCTGGAAATTCCATTTTAGCATGACCTTGGTCTCAACTATCCTAGAGTAAAAATAAAAATCCACTCCAGCCCAAGAACCTAAGCAATCTTTTATGAAGGGAGACTGGTTCCAATTTAGGTGCTATGAGGACATGAAGATCTCCTTGCCAACTCCGTCAATCCTGAGCAAAGCCATCTAATGAGGTTACTTCTGGGGCTGAAAAGTGTGGTAAAACATGAGTGCCTGAGAAGGAGTACAGGCCCTTCCTACCTACCAAGACCAAAAGTCTGACCCTTGGCCAACAATCAGTCTATGGTTAATGGACAGGTACAAAGAATGCAAGTTCCAAATGGCCAGTCTCTCCCTTCTATAGCAATGTGGCTCCAAAACAAACCAATTGCCCCAAACGCAATCAAGTCTTGAATTTTTTTTTCACCCTTTCATTTATACCTTCTGGGACAAAAAGAGCACAAATATCAAGCAAAGGTATAAAGAAAAATGAAATTATGGCATTTGCTGGTAAATGGATGGAACTGGAGACTGTCATGCTAAGTGACATAAGCCAATCCCCCCAAATCAAAGGTTTAATGCTCTCTCTGATATGTGGATGCTAACACACAATAAGTATGTGTGTGAGGGTACAGAAGTACTTTAGATTAGACAAAAGGGAATGAAGGAAAGGGGGGATGGGAATGGGAAAGACTGTAGAATGAATCAGACATAATTTTCCTATGTTCATGTATAAATACAAGACCAGTGTAACTCCACATCATCTACAACCACAAGAATGGGAAGTCATACTCCAGGTATGTATAATATGTCAAAATATATTTGACTGTCATGCATAGCTAAAAAAGAACAAATAAAAATTTTTAAAGATTGGGTAAAGACACTCTGACATGTGTGTAGTCTTCAGATACCCCAATCCAAAAAATAATATCAATTATTTTAATTAAGATGAGTGGAGGAGGGGTACTCTTCAAAGTTTGGTGGCATTTTTCATTTTTTCTTTTACTATCATTTCAAATTATCTCCATTGTGTCCTAGGCCAAATCAAAGCCTGTTCTTTGGATTATAAGCAAGATTCACCCTCTTTTGGTGCCCGAACCTTCAAAATTATTAAGGAAGAAACACACCCTACTTTCTATTTTTCACCTTAGACTTTCTGGGTATTTGTAATCCAATCATTAGAAGAAAAATCATAGCAAGACAGAGTCCCTGATAAGAAGCATATAGTATTTTCATTGCTTTTAATTTGGGGGGAATCCCATAAAATTGGTAGGAAAATCACTGATAAAGACACAAGGTTTCCCTTCTCGTTTGTTTACATATCCCATTTATAAATAATGCCTCCTCTGGCTTTATGGGGATCATTTAACTCCTAAAATGAAGGAAAACAATCCCTTGAGAGAAGTATTATTTTGATTCAATTCATCATGTAGATTGGCTGAAATTATAGAAATAATTGCATCAAATAGCCTTTTGAGAAATTTTTTTTTCACTCCCAGGGCACCCCTTTCTCAATGCAAAACTGAACATGATTCTTTTGTGTCCTTTCCCACCTTTCTATCTCTATAGATGGTGTCTCCTGACTAAAGAAGACACCAATCAGCACTCACCTAGGAAGCTATTGTTTCATTTAGGGTTCATCAAAACATCTGCCAGGGGATTCTTGGGACTGACATGTTTACCTTAGAGAAATGTAACTCTGCTATGAAAGAATGTTGGTTATAATGAAGGAGACAATCAAGGCGAGAAGCTCACCCATCACCTGTCAGAATATTCACATCTGTTCTGCTTTTAGGTAAGACCAACCTTGACCATCGCAACTGAATATCACAGTGTCAGAGATTTCTGTGAAACTTCCCATTTCACTGGAACTTACCAATGCAAGAATATGATCCCATGAAAATACCACTGGTTTTGAATTGTTAAAAATAAAGGCAGCTGCTTCCTTTCCTGTGTAAGACTGAAGATGGGATGTTTGTGTTCTCAAATACCACCAGGAATTCCTGGCCCTGGAGTAACCATTTCACTGTGACAGCAATGATAAATAATGACACAGCTCAAGACACACACTTTACCAGAGAAGGCTTGAATTTTTCCACTTATGATCACTTGACTAGCTCTTTATTTAAATGGGATAAAATGACTTGAACCTTTTCATGGTTGCTGTTGTTATGTGCTCTGATCATTTATCTTGATAAATTTGTTGGCTTCTAAGTACAAGGTCATCTTAGACATATTTTCTATATTTAAAAAGCAACTGAAAAAATATATTTTTTTTTTTTTTAAAATGTAGGTTCTATAAGCAAATGGAGCCTTACCCGAGCCAGGCAGTCACTTGACTGAAAGTCCGTCTTTCCAGCTTTTGAGATGCGACGTTTGTCATTGCTTGTGGTCAGAGGAGCATCTGTCTTTGGAGTTCTGTTCTCCGTTCCTCTGTCTACTTCTGATCTCTCGAGATGGGGTCCAGCCACCTCCTTGAGAGAATGCGGGCCATTTTCTAGCTCATAGGCATGCCCGTTTCCAAGTTCAGGGTCAGTGCCGTTCTCCAGCTCAGTGTTGGTGTCATCGGCCAACTCACAGCTGGCGCTGCTCCTGGATTCCTCCGGGGACTTGCTGGTGGGAGGTTTGGAAATGACCCCAAACTTTCTTGCTCTTTTCCCCTTTTTTGAAGTTCGGTCACCCAGCTCCAAGGTAGGTGTCTCTCCTGGTTCAGAGCTGTTGCCACTGTTGCCATTATAAGTAGACTGGGTTTTGTGCTTGAAGCGCCGCAGCATGATCAGGTAGATGAAGCCGCCATTCCAGCACTGCTCAGCCAGGTAACTGCAAAAACAGAGGTGCCTGTTAGAGCCGCCAACGCCCTTCTTAACACCCAGTTTGGACAAACCTCACGGGACCTGGTGATGAAAACCCTGGCCAACATACTGAAGTACTTTTGAGCTTTCTAGAGAGCTCACCATTCAACTTTTTAAATTTATATAATTGTTAATATTATATTTTTTATATAATTGTTTATATAATTGATAAATGATCCCCAAGCCCTCAAATAAACAAAAAAACCTCATGAACTAGAAATTACTAATTTAAGTCCCCTAGCATTAGGAGTCAGAGAAGCGTTTTTCTACTGACAGAGCCAATCCTAACATATTAAAAAATAAACTTTTTTTTCAGTTCTGGTGATTGAACCGAGGGCCACATGCAAATTAAGTAAATGCTCTGCCACTGAATTATATCCCCAGTCACTGAAATGAAATAAAATTCTTATAGGAGGGATAACGTCGAATGTTCTATAGTATAGTAGGGTAACTGTGGTTGCAACATTTAATTGTCTATTTCTAAATAGGTGGTAGAGAGGATTTTGAATAATCCCAACACAAAGAAATGACAAATGTCTATGGTGACAGTATGCCAACTATCTTGATCATTACACATTGTGTACATGCATTGAAATGTCACATTTCATCACATAATTGACACACATAATATACTTATATGTCAATTAATAATATTTTTAAAAACTTCAAATGTTCTCCAGCACAATAGGCTAACTATGATTAATAAAAGAAGTGGGTGAATAAAAATTAAGAACTTTTTTTCTTTACTCTCTTTACTCCTTCAAGAACATCTGACATTGGCATTAAGCCAGACTGCCATCCATATATTGCTGAAGGAATGATATTGAGTCCCCGGGGTAAAGAAAGAATAGAGAGCGTGGATTGGGGGAAATGTTAACTTTTGTTTCTAGGATCAAAAAGATTAACTGCACATTAGGAGCTTCTGCCCTACAGCAACTGGTTCCCAAGCAAAGAGTGATGACAACTGAGTCTTTCACAAATCTGACCTGCTTCTAGTCTTCCTACGCTTACAAAGAAAAGGCCTGGGGCTATGCTGCCTACATCTTCAATAAGAAATAGAACCTTTCCAAGTGTACCAAAAAGCTCCAATACTGGATAGGGGCCAGACTAATATGAAGATGCTAAGGAAGCATTAGCAGCCATGTGCTGCACAGAATGAGTATCAGGTTCATTTCTTAGTATGGTCCTAATGTGAGCTGTTCATAGCACACAAGGACAGTCATGCCCAATTTGGGCATCATTTTAAGAGGATCACCGAACAAAGTGGAAAGCACATAGAAGACCAGGAAAAGGAAGGATGCTGGAAACTATGTCAACCAGGAGGAGTCAGGGGAATGAGGGACATTCAGCAGAGAAGACAGGGTCAGGGTCAGTTGTTGTTGTTTTTTTTTTTTTTATATATTTGAGGATGGGCAAATATTGAGAAACAGGAAATAATATAAATGCAGTATGTATGTATAGTATAATATGCAAGAATGCTCCAGAGCTTCAAGAATATGAAGAAAATAGAACACTGAATAAAGTGAGTAATTAGCTGCAGTCAGGATTTCAGGTCATTAAAGCTTCAACAAAGAAAATACCTGCTGCAGTCAGGAAGCGAGGCTGGGCCCCACCCTCCACATGCCAGGGGAGATCAAGAAGCACACATCCTCGCAGAACCCAGGGAGATTCCTCCCAGCTGGAATCCTGCCGCATCCTACAGCTCACAGGTTCCCAAACAAAGAGTGTCAACAACCAAATCCTTCACAATTTGGGCCTGCTTCCGGTTTTCCTACACCTACAAAGAGAAGGCCTGGGGCTGCGCTGCCTACATCTTCAGTAAGCGAGAAACAGAACCTTTCCAAGTGTAGCAAGCCAGCTGCTCCCCAGCCCCCGGCATGAGGCTGACTCTAAAGAAACGAGGACTGCAGGTAAACAGACATTAAGGTGCCCTTCTGTGATCTTGTCACCAGGGAAAACCAGATCTGAGAGCTGGGGCAGCCAGCATGTGGGAAACAGGCCAGGTCACTGAGGTCCTCTCTCATCTCACCATGAGCTTTCCCTCAGGTAGTGGGCAATGGGAGGGGAGAAGAGGTGACGGCTGTGTTTGAAATGCACTGGATTCTGGCCCAAAGGCACATATTCCCCAGGCCTAATCGGCAGATAGTGCAGCAACAGTGACTGACTAAAGGAGGGAATATTTCTCCATCTTTGTCACGGAGTAAAGCGAACAAGAGAGAAAGTTCTTCAAACAGCAACTAAATCTAATAAAAACTTTCTTTGATCCTGAGCTATAAATCGTGGTAGTGAAGCCACACATAAAACAAGTAGAAAAAAGACACTGTACAGATCTCAGGTGATTCTGTAAAAGGCAGGAGGGTGAAGGAGGCAGAAAAATAGCAATTAAACCTGGTTCTTGGCACAATTGCCCTACGATGTTTAAATTTCATTTCTTTGGATTGTGTGTATTTTCCCCTCGCCTGAAAAAAACTCTTGAAATGGTGTGACAAATGCTGAATGTTTTCTTTGATATAAGGGGGCCGATTCATAGTGGGATAAGGAGCGGGAGCATGGGAGGAATAGACGAACTCTAGATAGGGCAGAGGGGTGGGAAGGGGAAGGGAGGGGGCATGGGGTTATTAACGAAGAATGTGATAATCATTATTATCCAAAGTTTATGTATAAAGACACGAATTGGTGTGAATGTGCTTTGTATACAGCCAGAAATATGAAAAATTGTGCTCTATATATGTAATAAGAATTGTAATGCATTCTACTGTCATATATAAATAAAAACTTTACATAAAAGGAAAAAAGGTGTAAAATCCTAAAATTAGGTAGCCAGGTTATAAGGGTTTCTCTTAGCTGACCAGTGCCATTTAAAATAACATGCACGTTCAATTGTTATGAAAAAAAAGGGTGGGGAAGTAAAAACAGGACCAGGTGAAGAGTTGGATACCCAAGTTCTCATTCTGGCTTTGGCCCAACCATTTAAAACAATGACAAATGTACAGCATTTCCACCAATGGATGAATGAATAAATAAATTGTGGCACATCCATATAAAGGAATATTATTTGATAATAAAAAGAAATGACATATGCCATATCCTGAGTGAAACTTGGAGCCACTGTGCTAAGTGAAAGGAGTCAGACCACAACAGGCCCTGTGTGACGTGATTCCTTTACATAACATATCCGGAAGACATAAACACATGAAGACTAAAAGAGGAGTTATTTCAGGAGCTAGGAGACAGGAGTATTGGGACTAAATTGGCAGGGAATAGAAATGTTCTGCAATTAGACATTGGTGATGGTTAGACATATACTAAAGCCTACTGAGTTGCCCACTTTAAACTGGTGAATTTGTTATAGCAATAGTGTTAGCTTTCAGTTACTGTCACAAATGCCTGAGAGAATCACCTTATGAAGAGAAAAGGTTTATTTTGGCTCACAGTTTTGGAGGTTTCAACCACCTGTTGGTTTTGGGCCTGTGGTGAGACCACACATCATGGTGGCAGTGTATGGCAAAACCATCCACCTCATGACTAGGACACAGAAGAGAGAAGAGGAAAGAGCTGGTGACACACTATCTCATTTAAGGACATGCTCCCAGTGACCAGAAGACCTCCCACCAGTCTCCAAGCCTCTTAAAGGTTCTACCACCTTCTACTAATGCCACACTAAGAACCAAAGCTTTCATGTATGGGCCTTGGGGGACACTTATTCAAACTATGGCATGAATTCTACCTTGGTTTTTAAAAAGTAGCAAATATATAATAATCTGGGCAAGTTTTGAGTTCATTCTTTGAGTAGGTGCTTGACAGACCCCATTTCCCTATGAACTGTCTTAGAAGAAACTGCAGCTCAGAAATACTAATTAACTTGCCCAAGTTCCCAGAACTCCTAAGAGGCAGGACTAATTCTATCCAATTCCAAAGCCCACACTATTCATGCTGTGCAATTCTGCTGTCATTCCCAACTCCGTGCTTTGGTTTCCTCATCTGTAAAGCGAGGGTGTTGAAATGGGTCCTCTCTATGTTGCTTTCACATTCTAATAATTGTGAGTGCTAGTTTCCCAGGCAGGGTTCTGGGGATAAAGAATCAAGTCATCTCAATGGTCTTGGTGCAGTGCTGAGGACAAAACACAAATGAAAAACAAAATATCCACTCTGTGTCCAAGTTGTCTTAGGCCTTGCTGTGGTTTGGATAAGTGTTCCCCAAAAGCCCACATGCTAAAGACTTGGTCACCAGCCTGTGGCACTAATGGTAGGTGGTGGAACTTTTAAGAGGTTGGGTCCAGTAGAAGGGCATATGCCCTGGAAGGGGATGTCAGGACTCTACCCTTTCCTGTCTTCTTGTTTCCCTATCCCATGAGGTAATAGAGCTTTCTTTACGATGAGTTCCTGCCATGATGCACAGTGTTGCCATAGGCCTAGAGACAATGGTGCCAAGAAGCCATGGATGGAAACCTGAGCCAAAATAAACCTCTCCTCTTTTTAAGTTGATTATCTCAGGCATTTGTTATAGCAACAGAAAGCTGACTAATACAGGTCCCTTGGATACTTAACATTGAATGCAAAAGGATTTAGTACAGAGTCAATTCATTTAAAATTGCTTTTGGAAACCTACCTTTCATACAAAAAAAAAAATCTGAACAATTTGATGTATTATTTGCAGAGAAATAATACCTTTTTGGTAACAAAAAGGCTAGCTGATTTGGAGTATAAGATTTTAAATATGCATTCTCATGGAAAGTGCCAAGAATCTTTGAAGGTGCCTATGGTTGAGACAATATTGTATTTTTGCAGGGTTCATACTTGGCAAAACTACAGAGCCAAGACGAGTTTATCTTTAGTTCAGTACCATCTCCCTGCCCTCTCCTGGCTTCCTAGCAATAAATAAGATCCTGACACCTTAAAGGAACTATATGACAAGTTATTTTATTCCTTCCTGGATTGGAATTTTCTGAGGTCATTCCAAAGACAAAG